ACATTTTTCTTCAACTCTATGAAGCCATACTAGAATTTTTATTTAGCCATGAAGGGAGTATGTATATTAAAAGCTTACTGGTATAAAAAAAAGTTTACTTCTGGATTGGTATGTGCTGTTAGCATATAAGAATCTTTCCAGTTGCTTGCTGGAGTGGAACACCTTTTTTTTGGGGTGGGGGGTAAAGTGAACCGTTTATCCTACCTTTTCTTGATCATTATGCATTCAGATCCCTTATTAAACAAAAAATACTTCCCATATTTTTAATTAATAAGAACCATTCTTATAAAGATATTAGAGTAACATCCAAGCAACACTTTTTTTTAGCTTGACTTGAATACTTAATCTGAAACGGATAATATCATACTAATGTGTAATTAGAGTAACAACAAGAAATCCTAACATGAGATTACAACAATACAAACAAAAGGAATTGCATTGAACTTCACATAGAAAATAATGATAGACACTTTTATAAAATGGAGGAGGTGGGGCCCACCTCCGTCATACGGTTACTATCTCAGGGTGTACAGTGAAAACCTGAACGTCGTCCATTCCGGGTTTCATCACAGAGTACTGAAAAGTCCATCCGTAGCACGCGCCCGCATGAAAACCGCTCTTGTTGAGGGCAAAAACCGCGCCCGTGAAGTCCGGGTATTTCCTCGCGATCCGTGATATTGCATCTTGGGCAGCAAGCTTGGGTTCCAATCCTACCCTCATACTTTCCACCACTCGATAGCTGTTGGTTAGAAGACACAAATATGTTCCAGTTAGTTATTCACTTATTCCCCAATGTATGGTAACATTTTGGTCTTGTATTGTGCTCTTATATCGGCCCTATTCTTATCACTCGAATTCTAACTTATAGTAACTGGAGTCTGGAGATTGAATTCTAAAAACTAGATATCGGAACGATATTGAAACCTGGATTAGAAAATGGGCTTAGCCTAAGGTTTTTACGGACCATGGAAGGAAGCGCATCATGATGTCACCATCCCCAGTTGCACCACATGCCCCAATTTCAGAGTCGGCGTATGCCGAAGATCCAGCAATGGGCCCATCACCAATCCTGCACTTGACACAAATACATTCATGCATTCTTTCATTTACTGCCAAAACTTCGTGGAAACTAAGAAGCAATTAAGGGGGGCTTAATGTGTCATTTTGATTTAGTTCATTATGTGTCCGAAACTAAAATATTGGCAATGGATGAGAAGATAGTAATGTAGGGACTGTTAAGAACGGCTCAATACTACGAATACCTTCCTGGGATCTTGAATGTTGCCCCATTAGTTGAGGTTCCCACCGCGATGCACCCTTTCTGAAAAGGAAAATCGTTCCATCTTGAGCAAACATAATGAGGGGAAAATGTAAATTTTTAGGCTTAACTATGTTTTTCGTCTCTGCAAATATTATGGTTTTTTGAAGAATGGCTAGAAAAAGCCATACTAGAATTTTATAAGGACCTCAAATAAACAACACTTATTCGAGGGATGAAAAACATATTTAAGCCAGTTTTTAAATGAAGGTTAGACTAATTACCTTGTCAACAACCGCCATGGATATTGTGTCATGGTTGCTACGGTCTATGGGAAATGGCCTTGGTTCACTTTGCCTTGAAGAGCACATTTCTTCATCATGATAGAGAGAAGAACCCTTTGGACGGTATGGACCGCATTCGTCAATAGGAGAAACATTTTTCCTAAAATTAGGTTGGCAATTGTTTTCTTTCCATTTCATCAATTTTTCTATTGATTCTGCTGAGCTTAGGTTTGTTGGCCCGGGAAGACCCATAGAAATGGCAAAGGCCGACGCTTTCTCCCCAACAAGCATAGTGTGTTGAGTATATTGCATCACAAGCCTTGCAGCTTTTATTCCATCTTTCACATACCTCATAGCACCAACAGCTCCAACTTCCATTGTCACCTGAACAACAACCATAAACCCAGTAAAATTCTACAAAAAAGTATTTGCCAAATCTTACCCCTACTCGGTAGTAGTCCATTGTTTCATTGAGGTCCGAGGATGTCAATGAAATGTAAGAAAAGGGTAAATGACTTTTACCCCATTCATTATCATAGCATCAATGGTGGTTTCCCCATTCTCGTCCGGACTTCCACCAGGCCCAACTGAGCATAGAAATGATATTTTGAAACACCCGTTATTTGAAAACAAGTCTCACCATACAAAAGGCCCAGTAAAATCCCACAAAAAATAAGCCCATCCTAGGAACTACACAGTGCAAGAATAATGGGAAAAGTTTTCAAGCAATGGCAGTATTTAGGGCAATACCTGTGCCATCGCACCGTAGTTCTTCACAGGTGGAACAGCCTTCTACCACTGCATCGATAGCTGATGATCCACTTTTAGCTGCCTTCCAGGCAGACCTAACGGCTTCTACGAAAGGCCAGGTGCTTACAACTAAAGGGTACTCTTGTGACTTCTCCAACTCGCTTCCCACTGTCTGTGTCCATAAAGAGAATATGTGAGCACTACTAGTTGATTGAAGCAACAACAAGAGGGTGATCTTAACCACTTACATATTTCCTAGCAGAGGTTGAATTAGGTTATTGTTTTTTTTACTCGTATTAAAAAAAGTAATGAATGAGCAACTGAAGAGTGGGATTCTTTTGATACCACTCATCAGTGTCGTAATATGACATTCATGCCATTTGAGGGTCCTACCAAGCGCTCCGTTTGACCCCAAAGTGGGCCCTACCCTCCAAACTCCCCGGCCCACCCCTTGCCCCTCTTGGGTTCATCGTTATGTTACAGTGGCTATTGTAGCATAAAGGCGAACTAAAGGAGAGCTGGGGGACAGAGGCGGACTGGGAGTGTTTATAGGGGTTAGGAACTACTTCAGTATCGAACGGAGAAACCCTCAAATGGCTCGGTGTCATATCATGACACCATCCCTTGTTGTCAAAAGCTAAGTTGCACAGAAACGGGTGTGGACACATCCCCAAGTAGCCAAACGGGTTAGGGTCTGTTTTCTCTAAAGTTTACAAAGAATTTGGGTGTGGATACATCCCCAAGTAGCCAAACGGGAACTTTTCAGACCCGGGAAGCAAAACTTTCTTGAAAGATTCCGTGCAACATAGGTCACAAGAACACCACACTTGGCTAAAATGGTTAAGATAAGAAATTGACATTTGAACTGCCATTGATAAATGAATAAATTTCTTTTAGATTACTCAAAGAATTCCACGAATTTAGTCATTTGAACCAAATTTTGAGGCTTCTAAAGAACAAAAAACCTCAGCCATATTAGAACTTACCAAATGGGCTCTTAAAGTCTCAGTAAGACTGAAAACAATCTCTTTTCCTTAACCTAAAATGGCATAAATTTCATTCTTTTGTCTTGTTTTACCATTCTGGCCTCCAAATAAAGTCAGACAAGCTTGAAGAAAACAGACCGAAGGGGTAAAGATTCAATTTTTTTCATTCTTTTTTATATCAAGAACCATCCAGAACAAGAATTCAGAGAAGGAAATTGATGAATCAACTGTAAAATATATCAGAGACTAAAGAAATTCGAATTACCAAGATGCAGATGAGTGTGAAGAAGAGGCGTCCGGTGATCGGAAGCTGATTTCCGACGATGGTCGCCATAGTCGGGAACCCGTACGGGTACTTCAAAGGAATTAGAATTCGCGCATAAAAAGCTGATTCTCCAAATTAGGTGGTACAATCATTTTTCTTGAATTTTTAAGAGGGCCCATTGTCCCAAACTCTCTTTTAAAATAATTTAACCATAAATTAGTATAGAAATAAAAAGAATAATATCTGACAAGAATATTTGATTTTATTAAATAACAAATGAAAACACACGAATAAATTAAAGTTATCGAAATGGTCAAATAGTTCGTAGTACAACCAAAACATATCATAAGGGCTCTTCTTTTCACTTTCACGCCGGGCTCTTGAATCATCATGACCGGCCCTGCTCCTATCTGTAACGGTTACCCAACGGCCAACACCCTTGCCCACCCTCTAATTAGATTGACATTTTCGTCACAATTAAATCAAAATGTGAACCAAATTAGGCTAAAATTTATGTACACCGTAGTACTATATTGTTGCCTACTATCAATTGATTCTCTTTGTTAAGGGGTAATTAAAAACTAAAATTTGATGTCTGTAACATGAATCAAATACTTATAGAGTATAAAACTAAATGAAAACATTTAGTAAAAATTTGTAATTGAAATCTTGATAAGCAAGTCTCAAGCTGTCAAGCATGTTACCTAGAATCTAAAATCTAATAATTGGAGCTTGAATAACAAGAAGAACGTGAATGTTAAAGTCCCGTTTAGTGTATAATTTAAAATCAATTCAATTTTACTCCTATAGTCCTAAAAAAGATTTTTCACTTCTACTTCATGAAAACTAGTACCGACACAGGCAATAGACTTGGACAAGATTACCTAAAGCTTATTTCGTTCATGAGAGAAGACTGCAAGACTTCCTTTTGTAGATTTAGCATACATCAATTCAAAAGTTTTAGCGTACTTTATTTGTATTTTCAAAATTAATTCGCAAAAAATAAATTTTATGTTGTGGTAAAATCATATAAAACAAAGAGAAAGTTTCAATATATATATATATATATACACACACACACACGATTGACTCCAGTGAGATGACACCTTACAGTGAGATGACATGTTTCGGTGAGATGACGCCAAGCTCACCACACTACACTACAAAGCTCACCAATGGACAAGCCACTTTTCATCCCAAAATTTTCTCACAAGTGGATAACTTTCTCCCCATTGGGAGGGCTCTTATGGAATTATTTTCTAAAAGAAAATCAGAATGGACAAAAACACCACTTTCAATACACAACACTCCTTCAAAAGGTCAAGGTCACAAATAGACTCTTTGAAAATTCAAAGCAGCCAAAAAAAGATTTGTCTTTGACATTTGCACAAGTAGAACAGAAAAGCAACAACAGCCCATCAAACATGTGACACTCCCAATGACAGCACGAAAATGATATTTTGACACCAGAGTTTGATATCACGATATACACGCACAGACAATAATGGTTGACTGTTGAGGCAGTGTCGTTATGGTGTCAAACGTGGTGTCATTGTAGTATGGTTCATGACAATAGGTAGAGTCCAAGTGTCCAACTACTACTACTACTACTTGGATTCTTCAACAAATTTCTTCCAAAACCAATGCTCCCTCCAAACCCTGTCCATTTTCTCAATGGGCATCTTTTTTGTCTCAGGCAACAAAAAGTACACAAAGGCAGTCATAACAGCAACCCAACCACCAAAAAAGAAGAAAATCCCATACCTGAAGTGGCAAAGCATGGCCAAAAGGGATTGACCAACCAAGAAAGTGAATAGAAAACTCACACACACTGTGATGCTTTGCCCTGCTGATCTGATCTCAAGTTGAAAGATCTCACTTGGAATCAGCCATCCCAAAGGTCCCCATGACAACCCGAAGCCTGCAACGTAGCCACACAACAATAACAAAACCACAACCGCCCAATCTTTGCTTACCCCTCCGTGGTTCCCTAACTTAGCACCCAGCACTGCTCCTACCGCCATTTGGGTCACAAACATTACTATTCCTCCAGTGATCAAAAGGGGTCTTCGACCTACTTTGTCGACAATCATCATTGAAGCAAAGGTTGTAATGATACCAACTGATCCTGTCACGACTGATGACATGAGTGAAGCACTTTCTCCTAAGCCGATTGTTCTGAAAATGACTGGGGCGTAGAAACCCATCACATTGATTCCAGTAACTTGTTGGAAGAAGGGGATTGCGATCGACATTATCAGCTGAGGCCTGTATTTTCTCAGTAGAATGTTCTTGAAAGGGGTTTTGACGGTTTTGGATATCTCGCTAGCTGAAATTAGATCATCCAGCTCAGCCTGCACATCGTTCGTACCTCGAATTCTCTCCAGCATCCTCTTAGCTTTCCCATGATCTTGGAAACGCTGAATCAGGCTGTTGGGTGTTTCAGGGAGGAAAATACCGCTTAATGTTAGGATAAATGCAGGAACAGAAGCTAGTCCTAGAGAGAGTCTCCATCCCCAACCGTCTCTGATCTTTTCAGTCCCATAGTTTATCAGGCTTGCAACTAAGACCCCGATGCTTACACTCAGCTGAAACCCGTTGTTGATTCCTCCTCTATACTTGGCTGGTGCCATTTCTGACAGATACAGTGGAACTGCTTGATTAGCAAAACCGACTCCAATGCCAAGAAAAACTCTGCCAAGAATCAGCATGTAAATGTTCAAGGCCGCTCCACCAAGGGCTGCTCCGGCTAGAAAAGAAAACCCCCCTATAATTTGGATCCCAGAAAATGTCAGTGTAAGAAATTAGGAAAGAAAATTTAAAGATGATTTGGAAGAAAATGTCAGGGAAACAAACAAAAAAAAATGCTAAGCCTCAATAATTGTTTTCTAAGTATTTCATGATGCACAAATTTTTAAAATGGAATGTCTACTACTAATCATATTTCATTTTTTTTTGCACTTTCCAAGGTAAAACAAACATGAGCAAGTAACTTTCCTTAACACTCATTTCCTTACTATAGCATTTTACGGATCTAAACATACCCATAAGGATTGATGGTGTTCGTCCAAAGGTGGCAGTTACTGATGAGGCCAACAAGGAAGCAAACAGACCGGCAACATACAGTGAGGATGTGAAGGACGTTAATAGTTGACTGTCAAATTTGCAGTAGTTACTTACTTCAGTGTCTTTCTTCATCTTAGTATAGACATCATGGAAGAACTTTTCCAGAAAAGGTTCCATTGAAGTCACTCCACCTTAAGAGAAAACAAAATGCAGATTCTGCAAAGTTTAGTACTTGATCTCATAAAGGTTGAATCTATTTAACGAAATATTAACTCACACAACTTTTAATGGTGGTATGATTAGTCCAAGCTAGGAGCATTGGCATGATTCTCAGAGTGAATACTTATATACTGGTTATCCAAGAATTGGAAAATGACAAATAAAAGAAAAAAGTAGGTGCAGCAATCTAAACCTGAAATTCCAATATCATAACCAAATATAACACCTCCCATGGCAGCCATCACACAGGATAACACGACAAATGATGTCATCCTGCCATTGTAATACCCAGGTTCATTTGGCATGGATATTCCCACTGCCATAGTTTTTTCCCCTTTTTTAGTGGATTTGTGGAGGAGAAGTAACAGGGACTCTTAAGTAATGAATAGTAGAATCTTAAACCTTATAAAATTCTACCAACCATTCCTGGGAGTCCAAAATGGCTGCATTAGTCAAGATCGGTTTGGCCAAACATGGTCCAAAATTTCTAGGAACATGTTGACTTTCACATTTGGAATCTGATATTTTCAATAAAATCAGCCTAGAGAGAAAGAAGTAAAAAAGGAATTCCTAAAGGAGCTAAAAGAGTCATCATTGACAATGTTTTAGTTTTAGGAACATAATGGATTAAATTAAAGACACATTAAACTTCCTTTACTTTTTAATCTCTATGAATTATGAAACTTTGGGCAGTAAATGCAGCATTGCATGTATGGTCTAACGGAAACAACCTCTATATTTTTACAAGAGTAAGACTGCGACATTGCGTACATCTTGACTTCCAGACCCTAATGGAGTTGGGACTATACTGGGTTGTTGGTGTTGTTATAGAGAGAAAGAAGTAAAATAAACAGATACAAATTTCGTATAGTGTAATACTCAACCATTTCATATACTCTCTCTGTGTGTGTAAGGCTTGCGGTAGTGGCTGTGAGTAGGGGTAGAGGTAGACCTAGGAAGAGCCGGACGAAGTTGCTTAGACAGGACTTACAAGTTAATGACCTTACAGAGAGCATGGCCTTAGATAGGTCTGGAGAGCTAGGATTAGAGTAATTGGGTAGACCTTTCAGTCTTTGTTTCAATAGTTTGTACTTTTTGCTGCTCTTTTTTTAGCTTCTTGCCTAAATTTGTAGCTTGTGCTTGTGTGATTTCTACACTTCGGGTATAGTGTTGTGTTTACTTTATATGTGCTTTTGTAATTTGTCTTGAGTTGGGGTCTTTCAAGTAGAGGTAAGATTTGTGCAACACCCCCTCAATGTAAATTTGTGGGATTATGCTTTAGAACTAAGGAAATGAATGTTTTGAAAGAAAAAACTGTATAAATTCAATAGATCTTATCATCCTCTAACCTTTAACCACACGCACATGCATGTGTCTTCACTCTTCAGCTGCCATTATCTTTCTTTTTTCACAATTATAATTAATTTAACCTCAAATAGTCTGAATGAATCTGTATGCTAATTTTTCTGTTTATGAATATTTCATTTAGAAGGTTCAAACACAATATATCTAGTTTAAGGGGTAAACGCCTCTGATTGGACATGGCTGTCATGATTTAACTGGCTACCTTTCAACAAAAAAAGGTAGTGGAAATATAAAAACACAACCCCACACTATCCTTTATACTTTATATGATTGGAGACTTCATTAGCGTAAAGCAGTTGTGAGTTGCAAATCTGGGTGTTAGTTGAATTTCAACTAGTGGATAAAGAACAATGCAGCCCTACCATCCTAACCTCATTAGTTAAAAGCAGTAAAGAGTCTTTTGGCAAAACGACAAAATAGTGAAATACTGCCAGTTTTTTTTCTTCATGAAAATCAGATAAACCGGCTATGTTTGGCATTAGTCCGGGGAAACAATCCTAAACCATTTTTTTCTTCACTGGCTATGTTTGGCATTAGTCGGGGATCTCTTGGAAGCAGCCTCTCTACTCTCGAGTAGGGGTAAGGTCTACGTACACACACCCTCCCAAGACCCTACTTTTGTGAGATTCTACTAGATTTTTGTTTTTGTTGTTATGGGCTTGTGGCTATGTTTGGCACTTGTAGTAGCCCACATTCAAACCCACATATTAACCCATTGAACATCACATTCTACTTACTAGTATGAAGACAGTGTAGCATCTGGAAAGGTCTTCACAAGAATTCAATCACTGTTAGATTTCTTGTTGAGCGATTAAGCTGAAACTCTAATTCTCCTTATCCTCCAGTTACCAATAATCACGACATGAACAGATCCCATCTTTGAAATGATGATAGCGGTTTACATCTCGGATAGTAATTTCTCGCTCTGTAATTTTTGAAATAAATTTGATTGCAACATGGCAATCTTCACAAACCCGTACGTTCTTAGTAATCAAGAGTTTGGTCCCTGGCGGTGTACTAATAAGCCCAAACACAATCGCTAGCCTTTCACTGTGGCTGGTAACCATTCTAGTTTTCTCATCATCATCCACGTCATGGAAAACAGGTGAAGTGTTTGGAGTGTAACCGGCCTGAACCATCCGTGCTCCCAATATTTCAAGTTCTGCATAAATCTCATTGGACAATGGATGAGATGTGTCACCAGAGAGAAAGGCATGGACTTTACTTTTAACTTCAATCCAGCTACATGCCATGCTTTTCTTTAATCCTTTGTCGGTCATGAGTTTCCTTAGCTTTGCAACTCCCTCCCACCTACCTGCTTGGGCATAGATGTTTGATAGTATCACATAATTTCCAGCATCATTTGGTTCGAGCTCAACTAACTTCTCCAAGGCAAGTTCTGCTAACTCCACATCTCCATGGATTTTGCAAGAATTAAGCAATGCACCCCAGACGCCAGAATCTGGAGCAACTTTCATTTGGGTTATAAGTCCATAAGCTTCATCCAACCGACCACAGTGACCAAGGAGATCAACCATGCAAGTATAGTGTTGAACCGTCGGTTCAATGCTGTAGTTCCTCGTCATCTGTTCAAAATACATCTTCGCCTCGTCCACCATGCCTCCATGGTTACAAGCCGACAGAACACCGACAAAAGTAATGTGGTCTGGGTGGGCCCCACGGATCATCCACTCAAACATATCGAGGGCTGCATTAGCATGGCCGTGCATCGCATATCCAGTGATCATAGCATTCCAAGAAACAACCCTTTTCTCTGAAAGTGCTTCGAATAACATCCTAGCAAGCTTGACATGACCACTCTTGGCATACATATCCACAAGAGCAGTCATCACCTTGTCATGAGAGCCAAAACCCTGTCTAAAGCTGTACCCGTGAAGCTCCCTCCCTTGTTGAAGTGCAGCTATATCAGCAGAAGCTGAAATGGAAGTCACTAGAGTGGCGTCCGTAAGCCCCACGCCCGCATAAGCCATCTCACTGCATAACAACAGGCACTCATCTGCACACCCATTCTTTGAATAAGCCGCCAGCATTGAATTCCAGACCACAACATCCCTCTGAGCAACACCATCAAACACTTTCCTTGAACTGTCAACACGGCCACCCTTTGCATACATGTCAATGAGCGCTGCACAGACAAACACGTCTCTTTCCCACCCGGCCTCCACCACTTTCTCATGAATGTCCCTCCCAACATCAATAGCCGAGAGGGCGGAGCAGGCCTTGAGCACGAACGGAAACGTGAAGTTGTCCGGAACATGCCCGTGCTTGAGCAGTTGGAAATACAAAGAGATGGCAACTTCATAAGGACCATTCCACGCGTACCCTCGAATCAAAACATTCCAAAGAAAAAGATTTCCTTTGGGAATTTTAGCAAACAGTTTGTGTGCAACACTGACATGGCCACAAACACAGTAAAGATTGACTAGTTTCGTGGCCAATAAGGTATTATAGCCAAGCCCAGCAATGCACAAACGAGCATGGAGCTGCCTTCCTGGCTGAATCGATTTGCCAAGAATGCAAGAATTTAAAAGATTAGCATAATCTTGAACAAGGTTAGGGGCTAGTGAATGATGATTGCAGTGATAGTTCTGTAGAAATACGAAATAATTATGAGATGAATTAAGGGAAATCCTAATCCTCGAAAGCATTTGATGAAAATTTCTGCAACAGGAAATGTAAAACACAATCGATAATCTTCAAACTGTTACTCCGCGGTCCTACTGTTCTATACTAATCGGGGATTCGCGGTCCTATTAGATTTCATAAATACACAGAAATTTTATAATATCCCGTCTTTGGCGGAAAAAAATGTGAAAATTTGTACATAGAAATTAAGTGTTTGAACTTGCACTCACTCGAAAGTAGGAAGGATGTTTTCAAGAGACCAATGTTTTGAATAATAGGGAGTTGTATAATACTAGTACAAATCTTTATCTTAAAAAATTACAGTATTTTTTTTTGGAGAAATACTCCGTACTAAATACTTCCTTTGTCCCCAATTTGATAACAAATTGTGGGTTACGGAGTAAAATATTCTATTTTTTGAAATTATTTTATTTCCAAATTGGTATATCAATAAGATATAAAAATTACATATTAAAAAATTACGTCAAAAATTCTACAAAACAAGAAGTGACAAGAATATTTTATTTTATCAAAATACTTAATGAAATCGCGTAAACAAACAAAAATTATCGAGAAGAGAGAAAAAAAATTGTAATCTATTTAGGAACGGAGAAAGTATATATTCTTGTTACTGCAGATTTTTTTATTTTTTCTCGCACTTAAATATTGTTACTAATCATATTTAAAATAACATAATCAGAATAATTTACTCAAAAAACATAATCAGAATAACATAGTCAAATTACTTCTAATTTTGTAATTAAAAAAAACAATTCTAAATATATACGTAGTAGATTTTAATTTTAACTTGTATACTACTCCATATGAATAAAACGAACTTTCAAATAGAGTACTCCTTAACTTTTACCCCTTCCCTTCACCAAAATTCTTCATATTTTGTGTTTACCTGCAAAATCTCATATTTTTAAAATGATTTTATTTACAAATTAGTATGAAAATAGAAAAAAACTTATACATTCAAAAACTAAATCAAAAATTTTACAAAAACAAGTTATGATAAGAATATTTTATTTTATTAAATAACTAATAAAAAATATACGCCAATAAATATTATCAAGCACCCTTGAATAGTGAATAGGAATGTCTTTGGTGAACGGATGGAGTATTAAATATTTCGTAGTTTTTGGATGTAAATACACCTGTCTTTGGTTACACGAGAAAATGACAATTCAACCGTTGACCTAAGGTCCATGGTGAACTTTCATATAGACAAAATTAAAAAAATTGTGCTGAACACTGAGAATATTTTTTATTTAAAAAAAAATTAAAATTACTTGTTTGTGTGAGGTCTATAAATTTTGTGGATCATACGTCCACAATAAAAGCACTGCAAGAACATGTTTATTTCTTGGAGGGTTCATGAGGTCCACAGTTCAACATGTTTATTTCAATTGCAACTCCTAAGAACCCTCAAGAATGTAAATTTCTTAGACGAGTTTGGATTATTCAAAGCACATTACATATTATAGCAGAGTAGTTTTCTTGCACGAAAATATCTTAGACTAGTTTGGATTATTCAAAAGGTTCAATGATAAAAATGTAAATTGTAAAATTTAATGGATGAATGTGTTCACAGTACTCGCATCAAAGCACGCGCGCGCACACACACAGACCCGCCAAACTTACGGTCAGACCAAACGGGGCTAGGGGACTAGGACTTGCTTAACCGATCACCCGAGTGGTACTCCTCTAGGCTCTAGTGTTACAAAGGAAACCAGAACAAAAAGAAAGAGTTATGTTACAGTGACACTACCAATGACACCGAGATTGGCCCCATAAACGCTTCATAAACATCACAAACAATGAGGGTCAATGATAGAGTCAACCTTGGTGTCAATGGTGGTGGTGCCAAAACAGAATTATTCTGAAAGAACAGACACCCATGGTTAGCTTTTGTCGTCGTCTTGGTTTCGAAATTGTTCGAGTATCACGTTACAGTTGTTCATGGCACGAGCATCGAGGAGGCCGTGATTCCATAGTTTTATCATGAACAATCTCCAGCACCTGACAAATGAATACACACATATATACATACATGTCATCATAGGGAATCAGTAGTATTTAGGGCCCGTTTGTTACGCGAAAAAGGTTGATATAATATACATTTCGAAATGTGGAAGAAAATATGACTTTTGAAATCATAAATGAAAGTGTTTGAAGAGATCTAAAATGATGCATGGAGGTGGACGGCGGTTGAACCCCTCATTTAGATGGGTTGTGATATCAGAAAATATCAAACCCAGACTACGTTTAGGCTTCACCAAACACAAAAAGTTCTTTTATTGGGAGATATCAGAACAAATATCTCTTGCATTCACCAAACGGGCCTTTACAGAGGCTCATAACTGCCACAATAACATCTTGTGAATAATCTTCACATGATCGGCCTGAGCCACGATGTCGTAAAAAATCCAAGAAAATTGTTGGGTAATGGGAAGGGGACTACCAGAGCAGTGCGGGAGTTCGGAGAAAATCTTGACCGTGCAGCTTTGAGAAGGCCTCACATGCCCAAGGAATGTGGCCATCTGCAAGCACCCTGCATATGGGTAACAAAGATTTAAAAAAAACAGGTCTTTCTGTTAGAGGTATCCATCAATTGAAGGACCATTTAGGTAACAAATTTAAAGAATGGTCATTTTGCTAAGGTCTCGGTCCTAAACTGAAGGACAACTTATGTTCAGTTCTCAATAATTGGGAGGCATTTCTGTCAAGTGTTGGACTGGGTTATAGTGGAATTGTTCCATAGTGCTAATTGTTCCATGCATTGAACAATGAACACAAGGTGAGATGGTAGATTACTGAAAAAAGAAGAAAAAGAGAAAGAAATGCCAAGGCAGCATGAAGATCTCACCTTTGCTTTCTCACGAATGAATTCCAGAGATGCATCATATGCTTCTCGTCTTTGGAAACATCAACAAAATCATCAAGCATCTGCATTACCATCAATGAATCATCAATAATTCAGAAAATGACGACAACAACAAACCCCGTAAAATCCCACAAAAAGGTAGGGTTTGTGAAGGATGTTTGGACATAGACCTTACCCCACACACACACACACACTATTATAAATTTCTGCAATGAATCCAGTAACTAGAAATCTAGAATAGTAGGAAAAGCTCCTATTTATATCTGATATGCTTTAATGAATGGTACTAATAGTACTTGTGTCGAGTTTGACAGCTTCGACACGAACTATGGCATACCCGCCGGTCTTCGAGATCTGCAACATCATCATCAACTTCATCCTCACTATCCTGGTCTGATAAAACTTGTTCCAATTCCATAGGCTACCCTCATTTCAAAAAAAGTGTGACGGAAATATTTTAGTACATCGATATTTAAATTCATTTAACAATAGATCATGCTCAGTTTCAATATTGCTCTCAAAAGGGACAGGGGGAATGCAAAAAAAAATGTTCTTGAAAATTGTATGGATATGTACAATTCAATCATCACCTGGGCTCGGTGTGAGTGAAAGAATTGTCTCTTCTGCAGGAGTGTACGACTTCAAGTTGGAAAGACAAACCAAAGAGCCAAGATGTCAGGTATTATAAAGTCATAAAAAACATCAGCAACAACAACAAAAACCCACAAAAATATGGCCTGGGAAGGGTGTGTGTATGGGGACCTTACCCTTGGAAGTAGAGAGGTTGTATCAAAGAGACCCCCGGCTCAAACAAAGAAGTAAGAACAAAGTAAACACAGTAGCATGAACAAGGTAAGAAAACAAACACAAGAAGCACACATACCGACACTAGCAACTAGACCCCAGGCCAAGAAAACACAGAAAACACTTAAGCACAAGCTACAGATAAGTCCCAAAGGTCTACTCAATTACTATCATCCTAGCTCTCCAAGTGTTCCAATCTAAGGCCATATACTCAATAAGATCCTAAAGTCTTAAGTCATGCCTAATCACCTTCTTCCAACTCTTCTAGGTCTACCTCTACCCCTACTCATGCCCACTAACACAAGCCTCTCGCATAAAACACCACTTTTAAAATATCATTGTAAAGAACAAGGGCATATGCAATGCAATTCCAGCTCTTGTTGATCAAAACATCATTCATAGTTATTATGTGTACAAATGGAAAGCAGATAGAGCAAAAGCTCATATCATTTAAACTCCCATAAACAAGCTCCTGAAATCTTTAGCCTCATGAAAAACACTGTAGATATCACATAATTGTGCACAATTTTGTAAATTCAAAAAAAAACTGTGACTGAATGAAAGTTGCAATATAACATATAGCATTGCACCAGCACATACTTTCTTGGATCGGAACGCTCAACAGATAACTTCCTGGTCTTTGCAAATTGAAGCACTGCAGGTGGTGCTAGACTGCTTCCAGGCAATGACTCTGTACAGTCAGGGTCTGGAAATGGTTGTCCAGTGGCTGATGATACAGTTGCAGCATTGGGACTTGATGCATCACATTCCACGATACCTAGTAAAACATTACAAATTTATCAATTTAGAGTGAAGAATGAGGAAAGTTGATTGAGTGACAGAATGGATACTACTAGGTGTCAATTTTCAGTCGTAAAGTGTTCATACCATCATTCTTGATATGAAGATCCTTTATTGTCGTTGGAGAATCTGAATCAAAAGCCAGTGGATGTACATGCTTTCCATTCTGAACGCTTTGTTGTTTTCGGCGTCTTAAGGGCCTTGAACTGCACGAGAAGAGGATGCTTGGGTCACAGAAAACGCTAGAATATGGGTAAAATGCAAAGGAATGGTGTTTTTTTACTTTGATAATCTTAAAGCAAAACGAATTATTATTTCTTTTCTTTAAAAATTGCATATATTTAGATGTCTTATTATTTACATTCATCATCATTTTCAGGACTGCAATCCCAATTGTATGGGATTTTGTATTCTTTATATAATAGACATAAATAAATAAAATGAGTGTTTACAACTATATAAATAAAAACATTAATTTCCCCCACGTTTTCATTGCATAATTGTCCTCTCTTCTTTCATTCCTAATTGTCCTCTCATGTTGTCACTTCTCATAATGAAACAGCACCTAATGCTTATCAATGCTCCCACCATCTCATAACTTTGTTCCTTCTTTCTTTTTTGGGTTGTCCCAAAATTTTGCTTCTTTTTCAGGAATAGATTATGTGGTTGAAATGTTTTCTCTCCTCTAAACAAGTTTTCACAGCAAAATTTTTACTTTATTAAAATATTAACCAAGTCAAAACATAAACATAACTATGGGATGGGGGCACAAGTTAATGCATGAGATAGCTACATACCAAAAGAAAAATGTTTGTTGTTTGGGATCAACACCGTCAGCAATGATCTGAGACACAATTAGCACAAGGCTCAGTCACGTTCACAAAGCCCACAAACGCACTACCAAGACTTCACATCCACCAATAATTATGAAGTACGATAAGATAAAAAAATCTCACCATGTCCCATTTTTAAAAAACTAGACGTTAACTCATTTAAATAAAACGAAGAAAAATTGAGTTGACAGATTATCCAAGTTGGGTAGGCTATGGTTTGAGCACATAAAGAGAAGTGTTGAGGCCCCAGTGAGGAGATGTGAGAGGCTTGCAGTAGAAGCCATGGAAAGGGATAGAGGTAGACCTAAGAAGAGTTAGAAGGAAGTGATTAGACATGACTAACAACTCCAAGATCTAACTGAGGATATGACCTTAGATTGGAACGCCGGGAGATTTAGGACTAGAGTAGTTGGGTTGACCTTTGGGGCTTAATTTGTAGTTTATGATTATGAAGGTGTGCTTTTAGCCTTAGTCTGTAACTTGTGCATGTGTGCTCTCTCTGCTTCTGGTCTAATTGCTAGTGTTTGTGTTGGTATGGGTGCTTCTGGTGTGTGTGCCATTACTTTGTTCATGCTACTGAGTTTACTTTGTCTATATTTTTGTGTTTGAGTCGGGGGTCTCTTGAAAACATCTCTACTCCAGAGTACAGGTAAGGGCTATGTACACACCCTCCAAAGACCTTACGTTTTGTGGGAATTTAGTAATTTACCCTTAAATTTAGTATTCTCACCTCAGATCTCCATACATCAGTTTTAACAGACACATTTACCGCCTGATATTCTTCAGTGACCTACAAATTACACGGAATTTAACTTAGATAGCTCAAGGGGAGAGAGAGAAACAACATAAACAAAATGTGCTGGGATCACTGAGTTTTGGAGTTTTACCCACCCAAAAGTCAAAATAGAATAGATCATGACAAGAAGATAAGTGATATCTCAGACCCTAAAAATTAAAAATGCAAAAGCTTGTAAGAACAAATGGTAAAAAAGATTAACTCAGATTCATTAGTGAACAGTGAATACATAACTAGTAATAACAAATGACATCTTTCACCTTAAAGCTTCCACATTTCACCAAGCAGAAAGGACATGTAAAGTCTTCTGTTACTGTAAGATTCAGCAGAAATGAAGTTAAAATTTTGAGCTACACATCTATTTTGTATCATTGAAAAAGAGAACCATGTGTTTTAAACAAATCTGTGCATCTTGATAACAATAAATTTTACTATAATAACATTAAAAGAGAATATAATATAGTAAAATGGAGCTTAAGACAAGATTGTTTTACTCTCAATGAATAATTAATTACCTTCAGTTCGCTGGCACTTATTGTTATAGTATCTATAGTTGAAAACAATATTTCCAGTCCGTAGCCTGGAGATTGAAAAAAAAAGCTAATTGATTAATGGATTGTGCATTCACCATCATTAATAGATATAAGCCAAGAAATATTTGAATGTGAGAAGAAAAGTATCATAAGGCACAATTCTTTAAGGAGTATACAAGAAACAAAAGAATGGAGAGAATGTAATTTAGTAAGTGTATGAAACACACACACACATATGAAAACAGTGAAATTGTATCATTTACATGAGTGAATCACAAACAAATTTAACAGCATTTAATCATTTGAACTCTGTTTAACTTGTAATACCCCCTGCATCCCGCAAAGAAGTTCCTAATTTCACTTCATGAAAAGTGTTGAAAAGTGAAAACGTGGGTCGTTAGAATTTTTAGAGAAATGATGTGAACCACATATTCATTTTCTTAGAAGGAAAAACGGAGATTGGTGAACCTTTTTTGGGGAACATTCATCAAGGGAAAGTGTGAACTTCATTGCATGGGAAAATAGTGTATGGGAAAATAATTGCTACTCCCTTCGTCACCCTATTTTTGTCCCTTTTTACCTTTTTGTCTGTTCCACTATGTTGTGGTTCACATTCATTCTTACTTCACCTTACTTTTTAAGATCAATACCAACCACACAATCCTACTTTTCTTGATTCTCGTGTCACTCCCTCATGTCCCAGAAATAGTGAGATGGAGGGAGTAGAATTTAATCAGTGGCATGTGATATGCATTGTAAAAGAGCTTACACAATATGTATTAAGCAATCATATATTATGATTGTATGCATATGGAGAGGGGACTTCACCTTTTTATATGATGCAAAGATGAGTTAGGAACTTCATTATAAGAATACGAATCGTAAGACGTTCTCTCCTTTGCCCCAACTTCTTCTGCAGCAACACTGACTTTAATCTCATGTGATGTATCCTTTGACACCAAAAAAGAACAAAAATAGAAAGAAAAAAATATTACAACATGGAGATGAGTCACATATGCAAGGAAATAAGAGGAATGTCCATAGAAGACAAAACTGACAGAATATATAATAAAGTTGGAAGTACCGCAGCTCCAAATGATTGAGGAAACTGAAATGAAACACACCCATGTTTCTCCAAATAGCTTACCTGCAAAGAGAAGAGAAAAAATGTGAAAAGCAAAAGATTTATTACAAAAAAATGCATGAAAAACACTTCATTCAAATGAGTTATTACATATTTGCATCCAGTAACTGCATACCTTCATGAAACACGGGCACAAGTCAACAGTGGAAAACATCTCTGCTCTTTCTCCAAGACCCAAGTTCGGAGACTTTTCCAAAGATAAATAAGGCAATTCCATGGACATCCTACTCAATAAGCAGTGTCCTTCAACATTGGCTACCAAAACATAAGGAAGTGAATTAGGACACTAGATTGAAGAAAATCCACAAGATAATTTGAACAAAAAACTAAGGCAAAACTGTGGTCTACTTGTGGTCATAAAATGAGAAGCTCCATCAAACATTTCCTTTCACCCTAAGGGATTAAATTAGGCCAATGAATTGCATGAAAACTTGTATAGATAATTGAACAACGAGTTTAGGAAAATATGAGACAGTAATGAAGAGTGAACCCCTTCAATGTTTGCTATTACAACAAGTTGAATCAAAGATACTAGTGATAATTCGGAACAAAAATAGATGTGCTACATTAAACTGTCTGTCAACATTTATCAAGTCCAACCAGCATAATGAATTCATCTAGCAAAGGTGCAATCCCTCCCTCCCTCCCTCCCTCCCTCCCTCCCTTCAATAGCCATATCTAATATGAACCTAAATCATCAGCGTCAATCTCAACATTCTAATAAAATGTTACATCAGATGCAACCACACAATATTTATGCTGGCATGTGGACAACTTACAAGCAAAATATGACATATCCATATGGTCCTTGGCGATCTCAGCTGCAAAATGGGTGAAATAGAAAAATACCTAAAATCTTCCACTGAACATCATTGGTGTCAGAAATTCATGGAGGTGCAAATATGGCATACCACAGCTAATAAAAAGAATTACAAGTGATGCCGCATCAATCTCCGATGACAACTTATTCATTTCAGGGAGTACAAATTTTGCATAAGCTTGATTTGTCCTGTCTACTCCGGAACAAGAGGATAGCATGCATGCCTGCTTAAAGCAATATACTGCAGAGTACTGCATGCAAGTAGCATATTGGGATTAAATATAACATTTTTAAAAGTAGTGATAGGATATAGTTCTATAATTGAGCTCAAATACCTCAGAAGCTACAGGAATTGGAACTTGCCTAGCCAACAATATACACAAAGGAAACATGCTTTGAATGTGTGAGCCGCCATTTAAAGTTGCTGGAAGAGAAATGGTCATTTGTATCCTTGAAATGCATGAAAAAGTTCCAAAGTAAGAAATGATGGTCTACACTTTACAAACACTAATATGCACAAAACATTAAGGCACGGAATATAAGAGCATCAGGAAATCATTGTCCAAATTCAATTACACCGTTTGATGGTTTAATTATGAATGACCCTGGCCTGATAAGAACAAATAAATAGGTAATGCAACCAGCTTGTTAATATACTCACTTTGTCTTATAAAAAGAGTCTTGTTTAACCATGATATTTCTTTAATCCTTTTTAATTTTTAAAATATGCAGTTATTCCCCATAGGCCTGGTGTGGTTGCCATTGTAATACACAACCATTAGAGATCCTCAATTATACTACTCCAAGCAGGGCTAAGGTCCGTATACACACTCCCCAGACCTTACTGTCATAAGGGATTCTACTGGGTTGTTTTTGTATTTGTTGATTTAACTTAATTTAACATATTTAACTTGTTCCAGGCACTTTTTTTTAAGCATTAGATATAATAAAAATTATATTTTTTTGTTCGAATAAGACTCATTTAGGGGGAAAATAATAACTTTTCAAAATAGGACTACTTTCGGAGACAAATGGAGTACTGGTTTACCCTTATAATGGTTCATACCACCTAGCCTGACTGAAAAGGTTCTGATCCCCTGAGATGAGCTATTTAGATTCAAGTTTCACCTTTCAAAATTGGCAACTAAACTGAAACATAAAGCATATGATTCCAGACAATTACCTTCTTTTATGTTTTGCCTGTAATTTGTACCGCAAACATCTTTGTAGGAAAGACGGCTGCATAAGAAGTAGTCTTCAGTTAGAGATGAAGAATCGTACTATTCATTATTGAATAACAAAATACGACAACCCGTTGATAAATTTAGGATCTTTCTGAAGACCGGTGAATATTAAAAATAATCTAATTTCCCATATTCTTAGAGGGCAGCTGAAGTAACCAGGAAGTGGGAAAGAGGGAAAATTCCCTACATTAGAAACATTTAGTATTTAAAGCAAAGGAAATAAAAATACATTTTTTGCAGCTCGGCGTTGCAGTATGTTGTATAACTCAACAGGTTTACAGTATATCGAAAGACTTTCTTCGGCTGCAATTTCTTCTTCTGCAGACAAGTGCTCGTGAGAATCGTGACGGCACATCTGGTCTGCAGCTCTAGAATATCTGCAATGGCAAACAAAACTCATCTATCATAAACTTAGAAGAGAATCACGTTCTATCCCCATTATAGTCATTACGATTCCAATATCCTCATAACAAAATCACAGTTAAACAAAAATTCTCCAGCTTTAACGAATGTTAAGTTGTTAACCAAGAAAAGAAAACAGGAAACGCTTACGAAGTCCCGTTGGGTGTTAATGGTATGCCAGGCATCTTTTTTTTAAGGAGAATAAATATGTACACTCATAATCTGAAGCTCAAGGCCGAGTTCAAAGCATCCAAACCTAACAGTCTGAAACAAATGGAAGAGAAAATCACAAACTATAAAACAATAGTAATTGAGCTGAAAAAGAATGTCTACTGATCTAATTGAGCTGGGATTAAACGCCTCATCCGAGATATCAATGTTGAACTTTGGATAAATCAATTTAAAATAATTTTCTTAATAAAAAGTGAAGACTGATTGAGGAGGAAGACAAAAACCATTGGAAATTATGTTTAGTTGATTTGAACTTGTAATGTCAGCAAAACAAAAGCCATTACGAATAAAGATTGCAAAGTTTACGTTTTTACCAGCGCGAAACCTTTTTTGCCGGCGACGAAGCTTTCTCCAGCACCGATAATAAGCTGCACCGGAAATTCGGATCTGGTGAGCCAATTGTCCGTAAAGATGAAAAAAATTATGAAGATTTGAACATACCGTGCACAATTCTGAGCAATTTTTCCGCCGTAAGTATTTAGACACGCGAAAAAGCAGCCAACTTTGAGCTTCAACGCGACGGTGTTCAAAAAATTTCTATTCTTTCTCTCTTTCCTTCTTTCTAATATCTATCTTTTTCCTCTTTTTTATAGATTTTTTTTTAGATTATTTGTCTCTAAACTTTTTTAAAATTATGTCGATAATCTTTAAACTTTAAAATTAACACTAATGATTTCCGAACATTTAAAAGATTATGTCAATATACTCGTTTGAATTTGATTGATTAACGAAGAGTTTGATTGATTGTCAAGAGTAAATATTTAAGATTTCAATAGGTATAGAAGATAATGTTTGATAATGACGTATTGTCAAACTCGTGTGTGAAATACTTTGTATAACTTTAGATGATGAATTCATGTACTCACTCAACGAACATGTAATTACTGCACTCCCAAATTTGACGTAAAGAGGTCATTGATGCACTATTTTTAAATGTCCAAGGACCATTGATGCAATTTTTAAATTTCAGAAGAAATATGCACAAGTTTTAGAGCCTTTGGTAGTGTATAGAGCAAAAAGTTCCTTTTTTTGTTTATTTTTTAATTGAAAACAAACTCAATTTTTTATCCCTAAATTCCTAATGGTGTGTAGTTAATCAATTAGAGAAGTACAAATAGTAAATTATGAATCAACTAAAATCTGGTCTCTATTCTCACTCCGAAACTGGTGGGTGCCTTTAAAACTTTAGCGATGCCGTCATTACAAAAGAATGTACTAGCGGGTTGAAGCGTTGATGCATGTCGCGACTAATTGCTTGAGATCGTTGCTTCGCAAAAGAGATGTTGATGCGGCATTGGTTACGAGTTTTCCTCGAGTCATTGCTTCACGGGGAAGACACTAATTACTGCAAGTGGGTCACTACAAAAGAGGAACCAAGAATCGGGTCAGATGAACATCAGATGAGAATTTAATGATTTGGGCCAAGACAAAAAAATGCCTTAAAACCTTACTTGTAATGGTTTAGTGAATTAAAGTATGCAAATTAATTATATATTTATATTTAATTGACAATTAACATAATAATATTATAACAAAATGCGTAAATAACAAAATCATAGTAAAGAATTTATATATAATTATCTTTCCAAACCAATATTCTGAAAATCGTAAAGGACGTCAACCCAAACAAACTAATGAGTCAAGAGTTAATCGGTCGACCCAATCAACTATAATTAAAGCAATCATATTTTATATTATTAGATCTTTTTAATTAATAAGAAATTTTAACGTGTTTCTTACATCATCCATATAGTTTTCAATATCATTTTGCTAGTGTTGTCATACTCTCAATTTGTATTATCTTTTATTACTACTAAAGATAAATGATAAATATTTAATAAATACTAAAATGGCAAGACAATACTTATATTTTTTTAAAAAATAAAGACTAGGTAATATGTTATTATATACGGAGTAATACTCCTCAGTAATCTGTATGTAACACTTCAGACTTATATTTAGTTGATTAAATGGGTACTTTCATGATGTTCAAAAAATATTATACTTTTCCATATGTTGCATAAACACTCCTAAAAATTAAATGAAAGTGACAAATAGAAATAATTAAAATTAAAAACTACCTCATCTAATAAATGGAAACTGTAATACCTCGTCTTAAGATAGGAATGAAAATAGCTCAAAAGAACTGATAGTACTACTCATACCAATAAAGTGTATCTTCTTTTCGAGAGCTCATCACCTAAAAACTTCAAAGTTAAGCGTGCTTGATTTAGAGCAATTCTAGGATGGGTGACCCCTTGGAAAGTTTACTTGGATACACACGAGTGAGGACAAGGTGTGCGGGAGTTACAGAAACAACCTTTCTAAAGTTAGAATGATTTTACAGAAATGAGATATAAATAGTATGAGACTCTTAAAGTGAGATTATTTTTTGCGAAAAGATAAAGTACTTCTTTCGGCCCTATTTTAATTACAAATTGGAAAAAAACGATTTTTTTTTTGAATTTTTTCAATTCACTTTAATTAAAGATTGAAACATAAGTAAAACATTTAACAATTCATCCAGTTTTCACGATGAGAGTAAGGACGACCTAAAATTCTCAACATTTTGATTATATGAGCTTGTTTTACATTAAATTAAAAAAAGTAAGATAAATTATAGAAGACTGTTATAATTTTTGGAAAAAAAATAACTTAAAAAAACTAAAATAGTCCTTATAAAAAAATCTGGAGTAAAATACTCAGTCCGTCTTTGATCAATAATTAAATATAGTTTAAAATAATAAAATATTATAAAAATTGATATTTAAAAACTATATACACCGGGTATTAAATAAATCCAATTTTACTAAATTTACATTATAATTAAATATATTTTTTCTATAATTCATGATCAAAAGATGTTATAATTTAATAAAAAAAAGTTAAACTATATTAATCGTTTAGGTACGAGAGTAAGGGGTTGTTTGGCAACTTCTGAATGGGTAAGTGCTGAATCAATAAGAGGTCTAAACCATTAAGTGTTGAATCAGTAAGAGGTCTGAACCATTAAGAACTATTATATTGTTTAACTATTTAGAGGCAAATGTCTGATCAATTCAGATAAGAGGTATTAACTATTCAGACTCTGTATAATACTTAACCATTTAGAGGCAAATCTCTTAACCATTCAGACTTCTGAATCATTAAGAGACTGAAACAAACAGTCTGAATTATTAAGTGCTGAACCATTCAGACATTTCAGACATATGAATGATTAAGAGGCCGAAACAAAACGGAGAAATAAATGGAATAGTTTTCTCAAACTCTGCAATTTTATACTCCGTATTGAACACAAGGCGACAAGTTGAGGAAGACGAAGAACTAGCGGCATCCATCACATCAGAGCTTTTAAATAATGCCAGCAAACGCGTTGAAGCTGAACTGATCTTCATCGGTTAGTTAGTGATTAGATTAGATTTGTACATTTTGCGGCGGGCCGGCGATGGACGGGAGGAGAATAACCGCGGCCCCACGACCTTGCAGCGAGCGGCGAGTGGCGGCAAAGAAGCGCCGCCGCGCCGGGGCCAACGGGTCAATGAACACCGTCAAGAAGCTTCAGAGGAGGGAGATTTCCTCGAAGCTCGATCGGGCTTTTAGTATGAAGGATGCGCCCGAGCGATTTCGTAACATTCGCTTACAGGTTACTGGTTTTTTTGTCGTCTCCCATTTTCAATTTCAACTTGAATTGATCTTCGTTGAATCGTTTATAAACTCGCGCTGATTGGGTAGATTTGTTAAGTTGTTCACTTGTTCAGTAAGATGTTACTGGGTTTAGCCAGTCAGGAAGCCTTGATTCGTAGCCCTATGCTATTCTAGCCGTGCATCTAAGAACCCCATGCCATATGGGTGTCTTTTTTGTGTGCTAAAGGGTCACTTTTTGATTAAGGGGTGTTTGTTAATGCATATTCTAAGCAACTGCATAAATGGTTTTTGGGATCATCCATAATGACTTGTTTGCTTTGGTGTATCATCATTGTGTTGTATAGATCTGGGTAAGTGTGAGTGTGTATGGTTGTTGGAATGTGTGTTAGGACACATCGTATGAATAGAGAGAACACATAACTAGATAGACCGAGTTCGAGACGCCATTTTTTCTCACATTGGATTAGGTTTCCAAAGTGTAGGTTAAGGGTGCCTTTGGTAAGCCTGTGGTTTCAACCCTTTAAGATTCAAATTTCACTGCCCAAACACACCACCCCATAGCTACACTTAAACGCAATCTTACTAAAGATTCTACCTTTAAGGTTTCAAATCATCATGCACCACACCGTTTTACCAAATGTGGCCTAATTAGCCGGGAAAATGCAATCACCAATGTAAACTCTATGTTTTTTGCCAGCATGTTCATGTCAGAACATTGGCACTTGGATCAAGTGATTCAAGGTGAATAAATTCACAATTTTGTCAAGATTAGTTCATTAGTCTAATAATTTTTTTCCCTGCAGGAGGAATATGATACACATGATCCAAAAGAGCATTGTGTCAATGCACTTCCATTTTTTACAAGAAGGACTAGAATTATTGAGATTGTTGCTGCCCACAACATTGTTTTTGCTCTTGCGCGATCTGGAATCTGTGCAGCATTTAGCCGAGGTAAACGCGATTGATCTAAACCATCATCTAACTTCATTCTATTTCTATCCCATCTATATATTCACGCCCACATATCTTTCGCATGGAAAAATGAAGGACAAACTCCATTATTTTACTCTGGTTGCCATACTCCTTGAGTTTGCATTTACTTAATTCTCTGGATTCAGGAAAGAGAGAAAAAAAGATCTAACCCACTTTTAATCTCCACTCGACCGGTAATTTCAGTTCATGTATGCTTTCAATGGATAAATAAAGACATGAGAAGGAAATGAGTAGGAAAGATACACGTACAAGACGAGAAATTGAGTAGATTTTAGGTGTTCTTGGATTGAAAGAATTAGGAAAAGTAGAAGAAAAAGAAAAAAATGATTTTTTTCCTTCTTGCAAGGGCGTATATTACTTTATGTAGATATTGTAATGTAGAGAAAACTGTAGGGACATGGTAATTGCTGCAAAATTGCTTCCCTCTCCGACTTTTCTTGCCACTTATGACTTATGGGCAGAATATATCAGGATGGGCCCATAACAAAATTCTCATAAGCATACTAAAGAGTAGGAGAATCTGGATTAATAAAAAGTCTGACTACTCATATTTCTTGATGGCGCAGAGACAAACAAGAGGATATGTTTCTTGAATGTCAGTCCGGACGAAGTAATACGAAGTTTGTTTTACAACAAGAACAATGATTCTCTCATCACTGTTTCAGTATATGCTGCAGATAATTTTAGCTCCTTAAAGTGCAGGAGCACTAGGATTGAGTATGTGTGATTCATACACTTATTTTGTTGCTCTTTTGAGTCTTTTTTATTCAACCTTGTTTGGCTGGGGTATTTTGGAGTGCAGGGAAGGGGTGATATCTTATTTATTAGTCTATTTTTACATTTGCATGGTTGGAAATAGA